GATTATCTATTAATTATCATCTTGAGATATATCAAATTTCTAACTATTCTATTAGAATATCTCCTCAAGACTTTTACCCCTATTATCATCTCCTTCAATCTAATTTATCATTATAATTTTTCACTTTTTATTTGCTTACAGAACATATTGGAATAATATCAATTAATCAAATCATATATCTGTTATTTCAAGAACTAATTCAACTTGATCTTACTGAAATATATATAAGCTGATTGAAACAAAGAATAGTACAGCTAGTAAATACCTTCATCTTTGATCATATCAATACTCAAGAAGAATAACTTGATCTAATTGAATAATTTTATCAATGGTTCATCCATCAAAACTTTACTTTTCAATCAAGAATCCTATCTGTTAATAGTAATATTGATGGATACTATTCAGAAACTAAAAACTCAGAAAATATCCCTGTTTTCCTAGTACAGAATACAGAGTCAGAAGAAAATAGTAATTCTTCAGATTTAGAAAAGAAAATCAAACAGAGTCAGAAGATAATAATCAATCATCAGAAGAAGAAGATAACCTAATGGCATAACAGAATAATAATAATAATTTGAACAATCTCATTCAAGCTCTTGGAACATTAGCTGACTGTATGATTAATCAGAATGTCCGGCCTATGGAAAAGATCATTATTCCAATCAGAAAATACCAAGAAAATGATCAAGATTCTACTGAATGGCTAAAAGATTTTAATATTGCCATCCAAGCTAATGGAATTACCAATGCTAGAAAAATACAATTAGTCAGAGAATATCTAGAAGATACTGCTATCTTATGGTATGATGAAAGAGGAAGAAATGATACTATCTGATTAATAGCCTGGAATGATGATCAAGATTTATCACACAGTTTTAGCTATCAATTTGCAACTCAATTCTGTATTTGAGAAAGGATTGATTAATAGCAAGATGAAATTAAAACCTTGCAACAGACTGGTACTATAGAAAAATATACAGATAAATTTATCAATCTATTTCATAAAGTAGATCCTAAAAATATATATCCAGAAGAATATAAAATCCAAACATACAGAAGAGGATTGAAACCAGAGATCAGAAAATGTGTTCAGATCTCAGCTAATAGAACTTTCCTAAATATAGTACAAGTTGCCAAAAATATAGAAAAAGCAGATGCAGATATGCCAACCTAAGGATACCATCAATCTCAAATCCAGGATAATTCAACATTAAATACTATATTGGTAACACTTCAAGATCTCAACCAGCATATAGAAAGTATTGAAACCAGTAAAGAATCAAGTTATAACAGAAATAATTCAGATTATAGGTATAATAATCAAAATCCTAAACCAGTCTCAACCTGTTATAATTGTGATGAGCCAGATCATATTCATCCTAATTGTCCTTAGCTACAATTATACTAGAATAATCAGAATAACTTTGAAAATAATTGCAGAGAACTAATAGAAATAATTAGCAACAAAATAATATATCACTAAATCAGGCAAATACTAACAATAATCAAAATGCAAACAATAATCAGAATATATTATTAGCTCAAATACAAGCTCTTACTGATAGTATTCAAATATTAACTATCAAACTTGACAATGTCAATTTATTACTTGGTACACATAAATATTTGGCTGCTGAAAAAAAATCCAGAAATTCTAGAACTATTCCTTATAGAACCAGACCTGTAGATTGACTCTATAAAGAAATAGTGAATAAAATTGAAGAACTAAATAATAATAAAGAAGAAGAACAAGAAGAAGTTATTCTTGTCCAAGATATAAATAATGCTGGATCATCTAAAACTATAGAAGAAGAACTCATCAAAAAGATTATTTGTAAAAAGAAGAGTAAAATTACCTTATCTATACTTGCTACCATGACTAAATCATATGATATTCTAGAAGATTTGGCTTAACAAAAAGCAAATATAACTGTTGCTCAACTTATTCAAACCTCACCTTCACAAAGAACTCAATTATCAAAGGGAATGTACCAAGCTATAGCACTCAAGCCAAAAAGAAAAAAGGATATAATAAAGAAATATAAAAAAGATATAAATATAAAAAGAGATGTGAAGAGAATTTTCCTCCACAGAGAGGGCACCAAAAATATATTACGGTAAATTGGTAAGTGGGATTTCACTTTAATTCATCCTAATGATATAGAATTGGGAGAAACTAAAATAATTAAAGATAATGAGAGAGAAATTAGACTATACTTTCAATAATGACAAAGATTTCTAAGACCTATGTCAATATTTATGAATATTATCTTAATAAAGGGGTAATAAAATAAATAAAGAAATAAATAAATCAAGAAATTATAAAGATTATCTAAGTGAAGTCACTAGTAATTGATATAATTCAAGATTTAAATTAATTAAATAGTATAAACTATTAATCAAAGAAAATTATAACTAAAGTAAAGGTAAAAATAAAATATGAAAACTAAATAATTAAATAAATAAAAGTGTATGGCTTATTTATAATAGAGGTTATCTACTCTCAAAAATAATAAAAGAAATAAAATAAAAAGTATGACTTATTTATAGTAGAGGTCTTCTACTCTCAAAACAATATCAAAAATCAATATATTATTATAATTCAAAAATCCAAAATTAACTTTATATGGTCAAAGGAATAAAATCAAGTTCAAGATAGGGTACTAGTATAACCAAATTATACTTTTCAAATAATTCAATTAAAACTATGAAAGAGTACTAATATAATTTATACTTTTTAAACAAATCTTGACAAAATTCTTTATTTCAGCTGGAATAGCAGGTTCTTTTATATATTTTTTGATACAAAAATTATTGTAGTATTACTAACTAATATTATCTAATATATAATATATAATTAAAGTACTATAATATAAATAAATATGAATGGGTTATGTCAAAGTATATTGAAAGATATCAAAGAATGTTAAAGAATATCAGAGTAAATGAAAGGATATTAAAAGACATGAAAAGACATGAAAAGATATGGAAAGATGTAAAAGAATGTGAGAGAATGTCAAAGAACATCAAAGAATGTGAAAAGATATTTGAGATCATCATCCAAGTGTAACTGTTTCACCAAGATTAAAAATAATCTTTCACTATACTATTCTACTATATATATAAATATTATATTACAAAATAATAAAAATATAGATTCCAAATATTAAATAAAATATAATGTTAAAAATAGAAATGTAATAATAAATATAGTAATAAATGATATAGAAAGTAAGGATAATTATAAAATAAATAAAATTATAATAAAATGTAATTTTTCATAACTAGAGAAAGATTAAGGAATTAAGAAATTTTATGTCACTATGGTAACAATATATTATTAGTTGAAAATGATAATTTAGAAATTGAAAGAATCAAGAATTAATAAAACTTTTTATAGAAATTAAATATTTTAATAAAATTTATATTAAAATATTTATATAATAAATAAAGTTATTTAAATATTTATATTAACTTTTTAAAAAAATTTTTACTATAATCATATTGATACATCTATATTTTTGTATCAGACTATATATTCTATTAGATCATATATTAACTTTATATATTACTAATTTATATGATAATGCTATTAATTTATTACATCACATATTTATTATTATGAAATATGATTCATATGATCTGGTACTATTGCTGATAGCAACAAATAGATTCATCTAAAATTTAAAATCCTTTTTTAATCTTTTTTATTTGTTATTTAATGACTATTTGTTTAAATAATACAAAATTTTAAATATATATGCTTAATAATTTAATAAATAATTTTACTTAAGATTAATTTGCAAAATAATAATCAAATTTAATTATAATAATTTTTTTAAGTTTTTTATTATTTAAATTATAAAAAATTTTAATATGATAAGTATTCAAGTAGTCCTAAGTAAAGTTATTTATCATGCTCACAAGTGTATATATTTAAATTTTAATTAAATATTTATGAAGAAAATTAAGAATTACAGTTTTTTTGTTCCACATTGTACTTATAGGTATTTGATAAAATATAAGTTACTATCAATGACTAATGGATTCACACTCACAAAGAAACAATTTATAAACCCAGACGCTATACAAAACATATGAGAGAATCTACTTATTTTCTGGATTCTGGATAAGCTTCTGTGTTCTAATAAATGAATTATTTAAATTTTTCATTCGTTTTTTCAAATGCTTTCGTCGAGCTAGCTCCTTGATTTTTTCTCGTTCTTCCAACGTTTCTGCCACTTTTAGCTTTTTTTTTTTTTAAAGTTAAAGCATATTGTGAAGGAATCTTTGCAATCCCACCGTTTTTACATCAGACATTGAACTTGTGATTTGATTGGTTTACACTTAAAAAATCGCGTGTACAACACATTTTTCGCCGTGACTGTAGCCCCAACCACTTTATAAAATTTTTAAATTTTTTATTATTTAAATAAAATTATTACTGTCAAAAACTTACTAATTGACAAAGTAGTAAAAATGTCATGTTAGAGAATGGCTGGGGCTAAGTGACTCGAGCTGTAGGATATTATTTTGTTTATCCCTTATCATCGTTTTATCTTATTTTTCATCCTTTCTTGTAAATATCCCTTCGTGCTTCCATAGATTCTTCGTTTATATTATAACCGAGATTCTTTTCAACTGGTTTATAGCCAATAGAGCCAATATTTGGTAATTGCATTCTTCTATTTATTATTTTTCAATTTTTATGGGTTATTATTAGGGGACTGTGTGAATTCACGTCAATCTCAGGTATATATAATTAGCTATATATCATGATTATAATGAAAAAATCATATGCTTTATCTCAGGTGTGAGTGAGTGGGTTAGGGTTATAATAAAATTCTATCACTTAATATTGTCAGCCTCCTTAGAGCTGTGTTCACCTTTTTCTCTTCATATTCTACCGAAATCATAGTTGTGCTGGCTTCGGCTCTGCTTTTGATTTCCTTGCCATTCTTATTACTCTGGTGGTGATGTCCCAGTTCGTACACATCTATATTCATCAGTGAAATTATTTATTGTCGTTCCAATTTTATTCCATCTACTTATGTTTTCCCGATTACTGTTGTTAACACTTTTTTTCCTTGTTAGGTCGATTGTCGTTATCGATTTAATTGCTGTTGCCGTTACCGACCTTTTTGTTACCTGATCTATTGCTGTTGTCGGTTCTTCTCCGTTTACTTTTCTCTTCGGCATCGTTTTTCAGTCGTGTAGAATATTCGTTATTATCTCGGTGTAAGGAATTTCTTTACTAGTATTACATTCACCTTACCCTTTACAGATACAAGGACCAAGGTCATGGGTTAACGCACTTTATCTCCGAAAAGATATCATTACCACATAATAATACTGAAAAGACTCTCAAGTGGTAGAGGTAGAGCAGTGGAACCTTGTTCATACTAGCAACTTATTATAAGACTAGAGAGATAACTTCATGCATTATACATGTAAGACTATTGTCTTAAATATTGGAGAGGCAGAGTGCTATTTATTTTTTTTTTGAACAGTTTGAAGTAATTCATGCTGTAAATTTTATTTTTTCTTATGTTTGTTAAGAATTTTAAAGGCCATTTCAAGAAAATGACGGTTTCAATACAGATGGAAAACATTCTGAATATAAAGTATTGCATAGCTATTAAAATAAAGTGACAGGTTCACATAATTCGTAATTATCGTCTGGTTTTAATGGGAAAGTCAATTCTTTTCCGGAGCGTGTCATTATCGGTTTTCTGTAAAAGAAATAAAGAGAACGGTATAAGGGTTTTAATAATGCATGTATAAATGTTTTAGGTGTGTCAATATTGATATGTATTTAGCCAGAATTGCCAGCAATAACGAAAATCTTTTTCGGAGTTCAAAGTAGTTAAAAAAGAGCATATCACCAATAAATCACTTTTAAAATATGCTTCCAAGTTAAATCGTTTTATCTATGATTTCTGAAACATAATTGGAAAAATTTAGTTTAATTCTATCATAGTGGGTGCGAATGTTTTTTGTATTGATCAAATAAAAGCTCATACGTATTATTAATGTAATCTTTGCAATTTTTTTGGAGGTCTTTGTTGTTGAATTTAAATCTTTTCATATATAATTTTAATATTTAGTAACTGAAGAAAGTTGATTATTCAGTCAATTAGAAGTTTATATGAATTAAATTTAGTTTGAGTTCCTTGTTCAAATATATCTTGATGATTTTTTATATGTATTTTTAAGTTTCTTATAAATGTTGATTTTACCAAGGTGGATATCTTGCAAAGAGCCAGTTATAAAATCAACAATCAATTGGATGAGAAAAGTATTGTTAACATTTTCTTAGTGAAAGCAGGTTTTTTGTTCTCCAATATAATCAAGCGTTCAAAAATAGATTTCAGACTGCTCTAAAGCGCAGATATGGTTTTAGTGATTACAATTAACGAAGAATCTTTCGCAAGATCTATTGTAATTTTAATTTCACGTTCAACCCCCAAGTTCTATTTATTATTCTCTGGGGCGTTTTCGCAAAAGCTTTTTTTTGTTCAATTGTTTTTAAACCTCAATATTATATTTTACATTCTATCGTAGACAATAGATCGTATATGAAATGTTAACAATGTGAATAGTATAATAACAAAAAAATGTATATAATGGTGTCCTATAATTAGAAAAAAATAATAATTAATTGCTTTTGACCCATTGCTTATGATTAAAGGAAAGCTTACCAAAACTCTGCCAGAATCGTATACGATTCTTCCTTCTCTGCTTGTAATTGTTATTCTGTTTGTTGGTTAGGTCCTTTACGCCGGAAAAGGCACTGTAATCGAATATTATTGTTGGTTTGGTCCTTTAGTCCAGAAACGGGTAAATTATTAAATTGAAAAGTTTAAGACTTTTATCTAGAAAAAGCATCCGTTAGATTCGTAACCAAGCTTAGGGAGAAAAAACGCAGAAGCATTGTCCAAGCTATTCACCTCTTTATTCCCCCACATTCGCTTTTGCTCAACGATATCGGCACAGGAACCAAGATCCACATGATTTTAATACAATAAACACTCGCCCAACACTATAATCCATAAGATCCTAACAATTTCCCAGAAAACCAATAGGTTGTTGAGGAACTTTACCATTTTATCAAGTCAATCGTTATATTATCAACATTATCAATAACAATATAGAATTGGACGCCGAATGCTTTGCATGTTCAGTGTTGCAGAGAATATCCTAAATCGCACTTGAGTGAATAATTTACAAGAGTGTCTTACAGAAATTACACGAACTTGATGTAGAATTGGATAATAATCAAAAAATGCACCCTAACCGATGCAATTTACACAGGTTGCATCTTTACTAAAAAAAGAAATTTCAAGTACATTTTAAATATTATCGTATTGACATTTCCTATTACTATCAAGTATAAAGTATTTAGTCTTACAGTATACATGAGTAAGTTCATATATTAAAAATACTTTTTATATAAGTTGACCATGCAAAATGTTAAATCAACCGCATCATGGTTTATGAATTACAAAGATGAAAATAACCATCGCACTCATTCTAATAATGAAAAATTCTAAAAGCCAGGTGTGGGAAATTCAAAATCGCTTCACTACTATATCCATAGAAACTTTGACTATAACTAACAAAGACATCAAATATTCAAATTCACCAAATATTTTGATGCATTCCAGGATAAAACACTTTATCAGCATCCAGTTGTATAATGCGTCGTTATTACTTGTATGAGAGCGACGAAAATATTGATAGATGTGTTTAAAAAAGAAAATACAAGAAAATTTGAAAAACTAAATGTACGCTTCCTGCAAAAAGTATCGGATTGAGATTAGCAATCGGAAAAAACCACAAACTTGAATGCTTCCAACCACGTATTGGCATCTTGATATAAGAATTCAAGCTTATGACTTAACTGGTTATATTAGCACCGTTTCTTTCTGGTTGTTCTCGCCTTTTTTTTTGCTCAGTAAATAAAATATAAAATAACTGATTACACCGAATACTATTACCAAAATAATTTTGCGTAGTCCGAGAGATCAGCTGTTTGAACTCATTCTAAAGTACCATTATATTGTCACATACAATTCAGAAATTTTCTTCAAAGCACACATTGTCCGTTTCTCAGACCTTCGACAGTTGTCCTTTATATACAATTTGTATTACACAACTATCTAAACTACAGATCGTAATTTAATACAGATTTCACGGGTCTAAATACAAAGTATCAATCTTTGTTGAATTTTTACAAACTAAATGAATATAATAAAATTTAGTGTAAGGATGAAAATAAAATTATTATGCACGATACAAAATGTGGAATTTTGTAAGAAATATGCAATCATTTTTATGGATCAAAGGAATAACTTACGATACGAACTTCTGTGTGAAATTTCTAATAATAATCAAAATCTTGAGATCACAAAGAATTTTTGTAAAAATTCTTATTATTGGGGAGGGCAGTGTTAATGTTGACATTAAAATTTAAAAATCTTTGTATGAATTTTGCAAAGCGTCATCTACAATTTTTGTATTAATTTCGCAGGATTTTGCTCAGTAAAATGGAACGGGACAATCCAGTCTTTCCTGTCACATTATTAATTAGGGATACAAGATTAAGAATTTTCTCGCATTATTCCAGAATTTTCGTGATAACGGGACTTCTCGTTATGACGGCAACAATGTGTCAAGATACTAAATTCGACGACGTTTGGGATTGTTGTTTGTCGTAGGTTTAATTCCACGATAGCGCCATTTGTACTAATAATTAAAAAGTAATCAGATATTGTATGATTACTAGTTTTAGTCAGATCTCTAATCACTTCTTACATGAAAAAGTATGACGTTCATTGTATATTCTCAGCAGGCAGGCTTGATCTATTGGCATACTGATGGATTTTAATAATAATCAATAACTACAAACTGAATAGGATTTTTGAATGCTATTACAAAATGCTAATCAAATGATGAATTTGCTAAAATAAATTCAGTTGATTTTATAAATTTAAATTTCATATATCTCTTATTACTTGTATCTGTCATAATATTCTATATATGACAAAAGTCAATTTATATAAATTTCACATTCTGTTTAATCAATTATAATCTGAAATAATCAATCGACAAATAAAACTGCTATCGAAATTCTCCAAATCGCGTTCAACATTCTCTCAAGTCCCGAATCTCGCTTGTTCATCACATATTTGCTCACGAAACGAGAAAAATGCGTCAATCATAATTAGATAATCAACCAATTAGCAATCAAATAATTTTGAAACCCGGATTAAATTCTTTTTGTTTGCTAATCCGAACGTTGGTCATTTCATTTGCACTTTTTCACGTTCTTGCGACGTGAGCTGTCCTATAGTATCGATTGCATTTGATTATACGTCCATATACATCATCATTTTTATGGCGCATTTCGGAAGCAATTCATTACATTACATTCGCCGCAGTTGATGATGATGTGAATTTACCCCTATATTCGTGATGTTTAAGCGTAAGTTTTTTTCCAACATGATCCAACAACTCGCGATTATGCATGAACGGTAGTACACCTTTCCTTCTTTCCCCGATTCTCAATAAACTGAAAAAATCCAAACTCCGCAATATGATGATGCATTGCTGCACGTTGTCATCGAGAAAAGGTCTTTCGAAATTTCCCATTTCGCCCTTGAAATGCTTATTTTGGATTGGGACGATAAAATGGCACCTGCATCGTTTCATTCAATGCGTGTCGCCGATTGGTTCTACTTATAGTCCATCCGCATCAAGTCATAACTTCGAATAATGAAAATATGTATTTTTTGAAGAATCACTAAACATTAATGATTTTGTTGCTTTTAATATTCTCGAAGAAAAGAATACAAATTCTGACATTTACTGTGTCATTGCCACTTAGTTTTATGGTTTAATGGTGTTTTTCTTTGATAATGAGTTTTCTTTATGAACAAAGATAGAAACGATTTAAAATAAAATGCAAAATATTTTAACATTAATTGCTGTGTGCTATTACAGCGCAACTACGTGTACGTATCTTTAAAAACTGTGCTACGATTAAGTTTAGAAAATTATGTCAAGAAATTTAAATGCGTTGCATTGCTTGCTTAAATATTAAAAACTTTTGACAAAGATGTTCAACACATCTTTGATATATACGATATGTTAAATCAAGAAAAGAATAACTAACGTAAATAGAAAAAAATTTTAGATGTTCTTTGGTTTGCGATCCAAAAAATCATTTGATTTTGTCGATAATCGCACAAATACATGTACTATCGCTATATAATTGATACATGTATGTATACTGCGTTGTAACTATTTCCTTCGTTCATCTGTGCTCTTCATTATTTTTCTTTTTCTCTGATAACCTGATGTGATTTATTAATTAAAATTAAAGAAATTACATTAAATGAATTTTAATGAAAACGCATCAGTAGCGGTTTAAACAACCGTAATATCGATATACGTGCAATTAAACAGTTCGGAAGAAATGTTCGAGTTCTGAGACAAATATTATTGGATGAAGCAAATTTTATTCTATGAATAATTATTATCACTATCGAAAAAATTAAATCTATCAAGTTGCCATTAATACAGACCTTTCTGTAAAACGCCAGTCTTTATTTAGGGTTTCTATGGTTTTACGTAACGAAAATATTACATCAAGCACGGGTTGAAAAAAGTTCCAAGAATTGGATTAAGTTCGAATTCTAAGGTCCAGAACTAAGAATCTTGGGCAATAATTTGGTATTTTATATAACTTGACAAATTTCTTGGACATTTTGGACTGAATCCAAGAAATTTGCTTGGAGTGATCAAAATACCAGCATCTGAAATACGTTTTCAAATTCATTATATACATGTATGTATTATATAAATACACAAATACTTCCGTACGGTATAGTATATATATTAAATCTTGCTATTGAGATAAAAAATTCCCATTGCTATTATTTATATAGAATTTCTGTAATAAACTTGACGTTGCACTAAAATCATCTTATTATCCACAATTGTTCAAAATCCTGCACGGTTAAAACATTAATTGGGAAAACAGAACACTGAAACTCGAAATCGGATATTACATATGGTTAGTTGTAGTATTTCTTAAGGAATGACATGTATTAAATTAATCATACAATCTGTTTAATGCCTACGTTTTCTTTAAATAAGATAAAAGGGTAAAAAACGTTTTTCTTCGAATTTGATGAATATCATTCCCTTAAATGGAAGTAACTATCGTTTTCTTGGCGTGATTATAGTGTTTGCCTAAACAGTACATGCTGTGACCACATATTCCTCCTTTTTTAGGTAGGAAGTAAAAAACCTTATTATTATCCAAGTGGTGTGTTTCAATTCTTCCATCTGAAATTCGAGAGAGTGAATTAACACCAATTAAAGAATGCATGCGCGTGCGCCACAATAACTGTGCACAATAGAGTTGTGGCAAAAACTCATGTGATAGGAATTCGTTTCGTATAAAAACGCGACAAAATTTTTTATTTTTTTAATTTCAAATCGTCAACAAATAAATTATCAAACTGTCAACAAGCAAAATATTTAATAAAGATGTCCTACGTTAACTTCAATTCTAGACAAAATGCATTGGATAACAATGGAATTGGTTCATCAAACATCAAATTCACAAATACCACATCAATAACCGAGTCATCTTCATCTACCAACAATACGATTGCGGTCAAAGTACCATTCCCGCCATCGATCACATTAGCAGAGATAGTAAAAAAGCGGAAAGGAATTAAAAGATCTGCAAAGCCGTCGAATGGATTTATTATTTATCGAGGAGAATATTTAAAGGCAACGAAACGACAAAATATAAAAATCGAAATGACACAATTATCGAAAAGAGCTGGCGCTGCGTGGAAAGAAGAACCGCCACACATCAGAAAATGGTACAAGGATTTGGCCGAAGAAGTTGCTGAATCCATCGCAAAATCGCATGTTCAATCATCAGATTTCGTCGAAAATCCTTGGACGGAATATACAATAAATCGGTGCCAAAAAACTGACGTAGTGGTTTTGAGTCAGAATGATTATAGAAATTATGAATCTAATCCACAAGTTAGCACACAAAATGACAACGCACAGAACACGCACATAAACATTACAAATTCATATGCACCCTTATCTAAGCAAGATTCGAATCCGACTATCGATTCTTTATTAGAATGTCAAAATAATGATTTCTACCAATTTTATTCTAACGTTAGTGCTACCACAACTCCAATAACCGGATATTTGAATTATATTGATCAATCGCAATTTCAACCCCCCTTTCCAGTAGATTATTTATTAGAAGCAACTCAAGAAAACAACGATTTTTTATTATTAAGCGATCAAATGCCTCAGAATTTTGAAATCAATTTTGATCCTTCATTATATTCATTTCCTGAAACAAATATCCTATTTTATGAGGATTATGATAATTTATATGCAAATGCAAATATATCCGAAGAAAGAAAAATATAGAATTTTATTTGGTAATTTTTTTCTTTTATTTCTTATATGTGGTGATATACATGTATTTGCTGCTTCATTTAGTTTATGTACTAAATTTATAACAGTTTAATACATTTGTTACTATATTTATTTATAGTTTTATGCGGACTATAAAACTTAAATGAAATATTCCTTGTTTAATACATTTGTTATTATATTTATAATTTTATGCGGACTATAAAACTTAAATGAAATATTTCTTATTTAATACATTTGTTATTATATTTATAATTTTATGCGGACTATAAGACTTAACTGAAATATTTCTTGTTTACCTAATAAGTTTATGTGTACATTCTTATTCAAAACTTTATTAAATCATAGTAGAAGCATATGACATACATATATGATATTATTCAGGATGTTCAGTTGCCATAGTGGAAGATAACATGGCAATAAAATCATCTGGCACATTCATTAACTGTACAAATTCTTCATAAGAAAGTTCTCCTTCAGAAGGGAATAGCCATTCCTCAGCAGATGGAGAATCAGCTGGACTATAATAGGGCATGATAGGAATCAATGGCGTAGTACTACCACTATATGAAGGGTAATACTCAGTCCTGAGTATTCCAGTATAAATATTTTGAACACCCGAAGTTGAGCCCTCGCTTTCTATGTAAAAATTTTCATACTCCGAGAATGGTAACAAAAATAGTGATTCTTGTAAATCTTGCAACTGCATCGGTTCGGTCGCTATTACATTTTCGGCGGCTTCATTTGTAGACGTGAAACGTTGCGTTTGAGAGCTATCTGGCGTTGTACTGTTGCCATATTCATGAATAATCGTTAATTCGTCTTGGAACTTTTCGATCTCTGAAGATTTTTTTGAGTCCGATTTTTTCTCACTCTTTCCTTTTTTGCTACGTTGTCCTTCAGGAGATTGCCAGTTTTTATTGACAAAAGAGGACGACCGAACATGTAATTCTGCCCATTTTTCGGCAACTTCATTCGACAAATCATTATACCATTTTTTCACATAAGCTTCCTCCTCTCTCCACGAGATACTAGCCATTTGCGAGAGTTTTGTCATTGGCATTGCAATTTTTTGACGTTTGGCTTCTTTAAGATATTCTCCTCGATAAATTATGAATGCATTTGGCGGTTTTGATAATTTGTCATTAGGTTTCCTTTTATTTAATAATTCTTGGATGGTAATTTTTGGCACGAAATTAACTTTGATTTTGGGAACTTCGCTACTGCTGGATTGGTCCGTTGAATTATTGTTAGCATCGGATGTTGATGATGACGGCAACCCTTGATTATCAGCCATTTTTTTGGTTGGTTGATTGGTTTCGTTTTAGAAAATGAGAGCTTTATATATTTTTTTTTTGTTTTTTAGCAATAGTTACAAAGATTCCACCGAACAATTAGTTCAACGCTCTTTTATCCCTTTCGATTCTCTTTGTAAGTTATATTAGTCTATCGGACAGTTCTGCGTTTTTTTGCGTTTTGTACGCGCCCGGGACAAAGCTAAGTTTTTTTTTCCAATAGTAAATTAAGATTGAAATGCAAGTTTGTTTATAAAAGAAAATTAGGAAACAATTGAACATTATTTATAAATCTCCTTTTAGTATATATTTCAAATTTTCAATCTATTATCCTTTCCATATTTTCATAGTTAGAAGTTATCGATCGATGCATAATGAGTCAATTTCAGTACGTGTTTTCCGTTTTTACGACTTCATCGTAATTAGAGATGCTTTTTCGGTATCAAAAGAAAGTTAAGATCTTTGCACTTGGCGCTTAATTAATTGATTTCTTTATAAAGAATGTACTTCACGTTATTCGGTGGTGATACTCTTTTTTCCTTTATAATTGGTTTATGTGGAACTTTCTTTCCAAATTGATTTTTGAATAAAAAGTTTAATTCATTGAGTTTCATGAGAGATTTGACGAACTCTGAACACTGTAATCTCCGTGAACTTTAATTGGTTTAGCACTTTACATAATGCGCCATGGATTTTCAATCGACGTACGGCATTACGCGCGTCATAGATTTTTTTGTTTATTGTTATGTCAATCGATTATGCCCGAATGTACTCGTTTTGTCAAACCCGTTATAAAATAAACACTTGATGTTTGTGGTACAGAATAATAATAGCGAAAAATATTTAATAAGTTGCTCGTGAATTTTATGAAAAAAATTTATTTTTCAAAAAAATAATTTTAAAGGTTTCATGGTGTAATATTATCGTTATGTCTACAATGTTCAAAAAAAACTCGTATCAAAATTCGAACCACATTATTCTAGTTTTCAATGGAACACATTTCAGATTTCCTAATCTGTAATTCATCCAATAGGAGTGCGCAAATAATCAAAGTGATATTACGAGAAAAATAATGCATAAATTTGTCTTGGACTATTAGTTAAAAATGTCGGAAAGGCAATTTTATATATAAGCTTATCTCTTCATCCAATACCCTTATCCTGACTCTAATCCGACGTAATGAAAATTCAGAATCCAAATTAGCAAATTTGAAATTTGATTCAATGACAGGCTCGCTTGGACCAGTCCAAAATGTTGTCATAATTAAATTAATAATAATTTTTTCAAAAAAAATTTGAACAACTGTCCAAACTGATCAAGGACTAACCCTGTACTATAATATATCCTATCACATATATATACATGGATCTGGTACGACATCCTGGCAAACACGATTCCGACAATTCATAAGTCCGACGAACGATATCCCCGAATCTCGGATGGACGGCATTCCGATCCCAAATTCATGGAATGCCAAAATCATCATATCGTAAAATTCGAAGATGAACGTTCGGGATTTCGTGTTTTCGGGATACTGTTTGTTTGGGATGTCGTTTACTCGGGCTTATGAATTGACGGGATTGTTTCTCAAGATGTTGAACGTCATATATGATTTCCCCGCATTTTTTTTTGATTAAGCGTTAAAATACCAGTTTTCCTCTTTTAAAAATAATAAAAATAACTTCTTAAAAGAGGACCGTTTTTAAAAAAGCAAACGATCGATATAACTTGGATTTCAAACCACCGTAAAGCACTCTGTATAGTACCCCTCCCCTGTTAAAGAATTCAAAAAATTCAAACATTAGTTTAAGAACTAATTATTTGTTTCGCAAAATAAATTTAAATTCACGGTGTAATTTTTTAAAACTCTAGTTAATAAGTTACAAGCGTTGAAGGTGTAAATTTTTACAGGGGAGAGGTACTATACAGAGCGCCTTTTACGGTAATATCTTATAATAGAAAAAGATGGGTGCGATAATTATTTTTAAGGTTCCATATTTTTAATTTTATCTTTTTTCACTAGTCACATTGGTTGTTTACATAACCATACCAGATAAATAAGTTTATTTAATGCGCACAGCATTTATTACTGTATCATTAATGCATTCCGTCCTAGCAACACAAACAAAATTAAATATTTTTATCATGCCATGTAACAATATCCATTGATTCCCATAAAATCAATCATTCAAACATTTTAAACGTGCATGCAAGCATACCTAAATGCTTCATCTTTGAATTAAAATTTATCTTAATTAAAAATTATCAATGAATTAAAAATTTATCTTAACTAAAAATTATCAACAAAGGATGAATATCCTTAAATTTGAATTAACAGTATCGACAATGAAACTATCAACAATGAAAGCTTTAAGCTCATAAAGTTAATCTGTCAAAATAATACTATTGGATTGACTCGAATATTTACTTAAATAGCGTAGTCCAGATTTTTTTTATCTTTGTTTATGTATTAGACTCATATCATCGTTATTATTGGGATTTTGGATAAGCAATTTAAATTTTGAAATGAAGGTTGCATAAATCTCTTTAATAATCTTTAAGGAACGAAAGTCAAGTACATGTACTAAAATATTTTGTTAGCCAAAGTCGGGTTAAAGGTTTCCGATCCCGATAAATCACCTATACTAAATGGAATAATGTGTCACTAGGTTTGTTTGAAGAGTCCAGTACATTAGCGGAGTCTCTCATTAGTAAGCTAAATCTTACCTCATCAAACCTTATTCGATTCCGATGACGCCAATGAAATACACATATTGACAACCAAATAAAAACAAAGCTTATTCGATTCCCGGTGGCGCAACTGATATACATTACCAAATAAAAACAAAACTAAGTCTCGATCTTTATATTAAGTGCATTCACATCTTAAAACTTGAAACCTCTAATATGTTTAACAAGGGCGGTGTTAAACCACATACAGTCATATAATCACGCCGTCGGGACCAGTCAAAAAGTGTGACTTTAAAGAGGTTGTAACTGTACGGAGGTTAAATTTCTCATGCTTAAACATCTGGGACTGGAAAAGAGATACATTGTATAAAGGGTGAATGAATATGGAGGGGAACAAAATTATATCAAAGTATTCGAGCGTAATTCCAAATGAAAAAATATTACTTCTTGGTGCCGATTCATAATTCTAGCACTATCAATCCAATCGTTATCCTGAATTAGACCCATATATGGCAAGTTCAATGATCATCACTAGTATAACCAAATAATTTGATCGCCGAAAACGCGCTCAAATTGTTGTGATCTATAGAATATAGAAATGATTCTACGGGATTCGATGGATAAATTTAGCTTTTTTTACTTTTTTTGAAAAGATCGTTTCGCAATAGAATGAACATTATTAAACTTCTTGAAGTAGGCCTCTTGAAGTAAATGAAAATAAAGTTGATAGTATGAGAATTTTTTGGGGAAAGTAAATTAAGGTTTCTTTTTTTGTTTAAAATCAATCCTAATAGCTCATTAATCGAACATTGTTGGATTTATTTGGAAGAGATTTAAAAACTCGAAAATTCTCGAGATCCATACATAAACGTAATGGTTGATCATAAACGTAACGGTTGATCATATCATTCAACACCCTGAACTACAAAAGCCGATTTGATATACAAAAAATTTGAGCCTTTTAAATCCCAATGGAGTATGGATTTTTCTTCTGCTTTTGCCATTTCAAATTCATACAAATTAAAATTTTGCAGACATAACGTGATCAAATTTCACTGAATTCAATCTTGCTAATTTTGTCAATGTAGAAACGTTTCGGAGACTCGGGATTTATTCTAAAACACAGCATGGATTTGATCTGAAAGCTTAAATTATATTGCGAATTAAGATTAGAGTGTGTCGTGGAACTCGAATTTTACTTTTTTGTAAATCTGAATGTTTTCAAAGTGTAGAAAAAATGTATATATACAGGGGATTCTCAAGCCGTTACCTTTGTCAAATAAATCGTCTCCTCGAATACTCCACATCCGTTACGCTATTTACTCTCTTCAGTTTTCATAATTTGATCATCTAGTTCTGGAACATTATAAATTGAAAGTTCGTCACGTTACATCCCTTTCCATCTTTCACTTTAATAACTTTGCGTACAGAGTTCTAGAACCCAAAAACTGAAAGAGTATTAAGCATTATGACTTCAAGTACGAGCCAGAATTCGGAAGCCGTCCAACCTGCTTCCTCCTCGAACTTCACGAATGTATTACCAACTCAATTCCAATTAACTTCGCCAATCCCAACCGCCAATGAAATTGTCGAAAAGAGGAAACGAAGCAATAAGCTCACAAAATCCACAAATGGTTTCATTCTTTATCGCACGATTTATCTCGAGGAATTAAAAAAGAAATCAAAGAAATTGAGCATGACACAATTGTCTCGACGGGCAGGGCCTGCTTGGACCAATGAACCTGATGCAGTAAAGAAAATGTTTAAAAAGTTGGCTGAGGATGTGAGCAAATTATTGAAAAAAGCTCATATGGAATCTAAAGAATTTGTGAATAAACGTTGGGATATTCAAACAACCCCAAGTAGAAGTAGAAGTAAAAGAAATAATGATGAATCTAAAGAATTTCAATTCCTCATTATAACTTCTGCAAGCGTCTCTGGAAGCACTTCACCAACTAACTGGAATTCAGACAATATTGAAAGCCACCAAGATGTTTCGCAACAAATCTCTAGTTCCAATATTGAAAGTCACCAAGATGCTTCGCAACAAATTCCTGGATCCAATTTTTCATCATTTGTAAACAATCCGCCGATATTCGCGAATCATCCTTCGGAGGACAACCATGCAGGCACATCTCTTCATGAGGGTCTAGTTTATAGTGATATTTCACAAAATGAGCAATCAGCTACTCAAAATAGAGAATTATCAAACTTGACTTCAAGTGAAGGATTCATGTATATGGGATTTATGGAAAATGAAAATTAATCATTACATTAAAAACAGTACTAAAATTATTTCTTGTCACCTTATTTATTCTTTTATATATGAATTTTTCATTCTTATTAATTCCTATTCAATCTCATATTATACCTATATATACCCGTATGTTATGCCATCTCTTTTTCAATCTAATTATATACTTATATGTTATATATGTTATTCCATTTTTAAGCTTTCATTTTATTTCCTACTTATCTTATTAACTCTTTTTTAATCTTACACAATATGATATGCATATTATAATTCAAAAAACTTTTTATGTATACAAAAAGAATACGAATTTTGTTAATATTCTAGATTATTTTAAAAAACTTACTACATTATTTATCCTTTTTTTATATATATATATATATCTCGAGATATCATTATACATGTATTATGTATGCTTATTCAAAAATAAACCAGTAAAATTATTGTGGCTCATGCATGGCTAAATTTGTACATGTACCTGCTTAGTTTGTGAGTATGTGATAAATATGGTTAGAACATATGCAAGAAATCCTTGAGAATTGAGATAATCTTGGCATTCATTACAGTTAGGATTTTACGGTACAAGTTCATCTATATGTACATGTGTATTTCCTTTTCTATGATAGGACTGAAATTCTTTATAAATAGTAAACTTATACGCATTTTGTATTGTATTGACTTAAAGTCATTTACTTGCCGTCATTGACCGGTCTTATGATTATATATAGCACACAACTGGGTAACATACCTTTCTGTCTCAACCTTCCAAGAGCTTCTTTTTTTAACGATATAAAGAAGTGATGTTTGACTGATTATCAGTCAAACAAAAATAAAATATGCAATAATAAATAAGATTTTCCTGCGCTTTTCTTAAAATATTTCTTTCAGAATATATATTATATTTAGCTTTAAAACCATTTTAAATGAGTACTCTAAAAGCAGTGCACGCATTATATAAATTCTCTCTAAATGCATGGTATGGCTCAGTCCCAATCCATAAGATTCTATGCATTTTACTCACTATGAATGCACGCCCTCCGTAAATGCACACTCTATCATTTTTTCATATGATCCAAAAAGGGAGTGCATTTAAAGAGGCGTTACTGTGGCAGCTTTTTAGTCTTAAGAGTGAATGTAAGATAAACAAGTTTATCTATTTTTGATAAATTTTGGTGAATTTCTAGGAAAAAATGATTGAAATTTCCTGCTACATGCATTTCGCTTTTCACGATATTCTAATAGGTAATGAAATTGTAATCAACAAACAATTGAGCAAAGCAAAAAAAAAATTCACATTTCATCTCTATATTTTCATAAAAACAAAGAAAATAGATCTACAAATACTCTTTCTATGAAACATTGAAAATCTCCAATTTGTTCTAGTATATTCTTGTATGCACTCATGAAAATCGCAATCATGAACTAGCCATACTTTAGCTTTAATAATTGACTCACGCGATACACGGCGGATTGGACTCAGGAGTAGCTTGTTTTTCGGAGATACATATGAAACTGAGAGCAATTTTTCAAATCATCTTTGTTGTCTCTTATACACAAATTACTTTTATTATATCAAGAGATATTTAAATGAAATGGTTTATTTCTTGTATCAAGGATCCCTTATTTGTACGTATTTGGGAATTAAAATTTACGGAATTTATAAAGATTATAAGTCAATGCGTCATTGTGCGAAAAAGATATTCTTCAGCGAAATAAATATGCTCATTAATATTGGGTAATTCTTATTGTCAAACATTGACTTTGGCAAATTTCATTTAACGAAATAAATATGCTCATTAATGTGTGTTATTCTTATTGTGAAAAGTGACTTCAGAAAATTTCACATGTGCATTTTATTGCATTGTAATATAACCAAGATTCCCGACAATGAACTTGATAATCTCACTTGACTTATTAGATAATATAAAAAAAAAGAGAAAAAAATGCAAGAAGATTCGACATATCTCTTCTAAACATCATTTTTTCACACGTGCTCGTTTTATCTTCGTTAACGTTCAGTTGGAGGTTCGATCGTCAAGAAATGGTCTAAGTCGAACAAAAGTTTCGGAATTGAAAAGCCGGACAAAAAGCAAGGTAATTCTGTCCGACGATTCCTTTTAACGACAGACGCCATTTACAACGTTAATTGCGGCCAAGAAAGACCAATTGTTTTGAATATTTAAATGGTTTTCGTTCTTTTTATGGAATTTTTCAAGGATTCACCACTATAATTTTGAAGCATGTGCATGAACAATGATCAATTTCCCATCATCTTCATAGATCGACCCAAATCGGGGATAAAAAAGTAGATATCGGCCGTATACTCCATATTGTGGCGTCTGTGGCACACATAACCAAATTTAAACGACGCGTAGAATCCCGCGTAGATTTCTTGCTTAAAATTTTCGCATCGCTTTTCAAATTCCGAGCTTTTTCTAAAAATATCTTTAATAAGCATCAGAAGCATAATAACAAGTTTATATTATCAAAAAAATGATTCACAGAATATTTTAACTATATCTGATTAGTGGATTACTTTTTACGCTACTAAAGAAGCCACACACCATTTTTTTCCTAATTTAATTAAAAAAATTGAAGATACAAAGCATAAACATTCAAGCAGGTAAAAAAGAACTTTTGTATAATATCATAGCAGGTAAAAAAGAATTTTTATATAATATCATATGTGATAAAAAAAAGTGACTTGCCCCTGTTTGAAAAACTTATTCAGAAATTTTCTATTTTTAACCATTTCTTTGGTTTGAGTTGAGATTCTATATTTCAAGTTAATGGCAGGTTTTTTAAAAACCTTACCTACCGTTTATACGCCATTATGTCATTGGTGCATTTTAGAAAGTATATAAAATCAATGAAGTTCAAAAACTCTTTTACAAGATTAAATACTCCTTTTTAAAAGATAATAATTAAAAACAATGTCTTTCTCAGAAAAACAACAAAGTATATGTGCACAAATTATCGAGAACAACTCACCAAATTCTTTTTTTAATACAACAATAATAAACAGCCTATCGGATGTTATCATCAAGGTTCCATTTCCGCCAAAAATAACTCCTCAAGAATTGGCACAAAATAAAATTGGCAAGAAGAAGTCAAAAAATCTCAATGCATTTATTGTATATCGAAAACAATATCTCGAACAAATGCATCGTTTAGGACTTAAGCCCAACATGGTTCAACTTTCAAGAAAAGCTGGTTCCGCATGGGAAAAAGAGCCGCAGAAGGTTAAAAAATGGTATAAAGATTTAGCTGAAAAAGTTGTCGACATTTTGACGGAAAGGCAGATAAAATCTTCCGACTTTGTCGAAAATGATTGGAATATTTATACATGTAATGTGAAACAAAATGTAAAAGAAAGAAGTAACTTCTCTATAAAAACACAACCTGAAACAAAGAGAATCGAATATGTTCAACCGCAAGAACTGGAATCTACTTTTGAAAGTCCAACGATATCAAACCTCGAAATTTCACCATTAAATTTTCCTTTATATATCGATGGGATTTATGGGACGTTTTCCCTTATGAATGATAACACAACAACACTACCCCAGCAATTTATAGAATCGAATCCTGATTTTTCTTCCCCGGCATTATTTGACTTTTCGCCATTTCTTTGTAATGATAGCATCCTCGATCTCACTTTTTTTCAATAATATTTGTTCCTTCATATTGAAGATCTGAAATAATTTAATGAATGAATGGTTAGCTATTTTCCTTGAAATTCATTATGTACAATACATTATACTTTTAAGCTCACTAAATATTTATGCAAATTAAAAAAAAGTTGTTTATCGTAACGAAAGAAAAATTAATAACGATAATTAATCTGTGATAAATATTGAAACCGGAGTTATTTTTAATAACTATTTAAAACCGGTTTAAATTAAGCTCCAATCTCTAATCTGTGGGATTGGATCCGAATCGTTATAAGTTTAGTATTAACCACGCAGCCATTTTTTTTTGAGACATACTGTAAAATAAAAAAATCATATAAAAAGTAATCACATTGTAGCAAAAAAATCCCGTGATTACCGATTTTATGAAATAGCCCGTGACTGCGAAAATGAGAAGTCCCGTGATTACGAAATTCTGGACCTTATATCCCTAAAATAGAAATGTGTTACGAAACCGTTAAATATTAAAATAATAACCTATTGTCCCGTATCGTTCGAACCAATTAAATTTTACAATTCCTACAAAAATTCTTATCTTAAAGCCTCCATACAAATTCATACTTTGTGTCAACGTTGCCTTCCCTAACAACACGAATCCTTCTTATCTTGCATTCTAAAAAAATGTGATTGTAGGTAGAAACCACAAACATTCATATCATACGTTGCCTCCTTGATCCAAAGAGATCTTTACAAAAATTCACGTTACACGTAAATTTTCTATTTTTTTATAATAATTAATTTTTTCGATTAATTTTTATTATTATTATTGTTTGTACCGGTAGCAAAGCCATGCCTCTTTTACTAAAGATTCATCCAACAATATTTCTTTTGCACGATAGGACCCGCAAATTCTTATAACAGCCTGATCTGTAGAGTAAATAATAGTTAGTAATCCAAGAACAGCTCTCGCAAGCCAGAGAGAAAAGCCTTTGTGTGGTTTGAAGAAAAATAAATAAAATTAATTACTTATCTACTATCGCTTCGGCTTTTATATCTTTTGTGCCTAAACAAAATCGAAGCTGTAATTCTTTTCGTGCTTTACAAATCGAAGGCTTTACTGCTTTGGCCAAATAAAGCTGCTGACTCACGTTTGATTCGTTATTTCGTTTGAGTTCTTGGATTATTGGAATATTCCTTGGTATCCATTTTGGTTTACTTTGAAGGAGACCTATTTAGTAGTTTAGGATTAGGGGTGCTAACGACTCAACTCGACTTTTAGCGACTATGAGTCATATTCGATAACATGAATTTCCAGATAAATCAAAGTTTGGCATCATAAATAATTTCAATTAAATACGAAATCTTAGTTTTTGCGCACTTTTATTGTTACGTAGTTAATCAGCAAAAAATATAGACAATATTAATAATTATGCATAACGTGCATAAAACCTAAATATGATCGACAGGTCGATTTGAGTCGAATCGTTAGCATCCCTATTTAAGATAACAATTATTTGGGCAGCCGTCAATAGAAACCAAGCAATAAATCTGCGTGGTTTCTATTGACGAGTTAAATTAGTATTGTTATGTGCGTTATTAGTATTTGAATATTATTTGAACTTTCATATTAAATAATAGTGAATTTATCCCCGTGAAACCCACTTCGCATAAATCATTCAGTCTAGCACTCAATTTGTAATTCTTTAGTCCAACTAACTTCTGAATTGCGCATAAAAACGCAAATCTACAGTGACCTGGCATCGTCACACCACGGTTTTTGGCCCGAATTTGACATTCTATGCTTACGTGTGTAAATCCATGCTGAAAATTCCGTAACAAAAACGTGTTTATGCATGCGGAATTTATTGCGTTTCCCGTGCTTGCCGTGGATTTTACGTGCCTGACTTTTTACAGGATATTTTTAGGGACGTGTCAATACTGTATGAATACATTTTGTGTAATATGAATTTTCATTAAATTTAAATCCTATTTATAACATTTTATTCTCTTCATTTCTTACAAAAATTACTATGGTGCAGATCACTTATAGCCGTCAAAATTTTAGGTCAATTTTGAGGCCTTATAACTTTATATATAATGATAGAATAACAATTTAACACCATATTTATAATAGAATGGCCATTTGAGTTTCATATTTATGGTATCAAATTTTATATTTATTAAAAATATTTTGTGTTATAAGGTTTTAAAAATCAGGAGTTTTATTAATAAAATTAAAATTTCGGACTCATCCCCCGTGAAATTCCGATAGGTGATCATGTGACCACATTATGATAATTCCGAGCTTTCCCGATAAGCATATATGCATGCGCCGATGATCAATGTGGATTTATTTTTTCAACTAATGCCACGTCCCAGCAAAGCTAAACGTGCTGCCCAGCAGCGGATGAAATAAAAGCGAGAGGTTTGTGATCTCTGAAATAACAAAGATATCATTAGTCGACGAAACTAGTGATAATGCGAAGAATTTTTTTAGTGGAAAAATCAATGATATAAGTGAGAATATGGAAGAGTTTTTGGAGGATGAAATAAAGTTAGATATTGATAAGGAATTGGGTGATGATAACGATACTATGAAAAATTAATGGGATAATGAGGAAGAAAGTGGCTGGGAGTTGGAAAATGTCATTGAGACAGGAAGCGAAATTCAAAATCATTTATTAGATATTAGTTTAGATTTAATTTGGAATTCAAATGCATTCTTGGAAAGAAAAAATTGGAATCCTTATCTAACCAAAAAAACTCCAAAATCAACCTATTATGATAAATATGATCCAACGGTTTGTGGACAAAGGCATCCAAAGGAACACCTAAAATTACTCAGTTTTTTGATACATCAGAAGTGACAATGGCAACACCATTAGAAGGACTAATTGAAATATCAATGATGCTTCTAATAGCAATATCAATAGTGATATCAATGACAGCAACATCAATAGTAACTCTAATGACAGCACCAATAGCAATATCAATAATAGCTCTGATGGCAGCACTAATAGTAACTCTAATGATAATACCAATAATGACTCTAATAACAGTACTAATAGTAACTTTAATAACAATATCAATAGTAATACTAATAATAATTATCAATGGTGATATTAATGATAGCTCTACCAATATTAATTTCAGATTCCAAAATTGAACAAAAATTAGAAATATTAAAAGATGAACTTAAATTTCTTCACAAAATAATATCCATTAATAAATATAATAAAAAATATGCCATTTATAAATATCTTATTAGAATAAAAATAAATGGCATAAAAAAAATAATAGCAAGTGAAAAGGTAATAAAAATGATTTATTTATCTTATGATCCCTCCAAATTTTGTAATATTAGAGACATTATCAAATACTATTACAAAATAACTCACTTCTAATTTCTTTGTAAAATCAATATCAGAAAATAATTTGATTGATAGATAATAAAAATGTTGTTAATAACTATCAATAATAAATTAGATGTCAAAATAGTAATATAATATCATATATTTTTAAGAATTTTATTAAATAATAATTAACTTCTGATCTAGATATTACAAAAAAAAAAGACTTTAATATCAATTGCATAACATTGACTTAATACTTTAGAATATTTTTATCAATTATATAAATAAAAAATTTATTATGACAGTTATAAGTATAAGAATATGATTTAATATCAAAAATTATTTCTTGAGGAAATAAAAAAATATGAGCATTTGATGATAACTTATAAAGAAGAAGATATATATCAAGTTCTATTACAATTGAATAGAAAATGAGTATGAATATATTTTAATTATTTATAATAAATATATATTTTATTCCAATAATAAAAAGAGAGATTTTTGGACTTAAAATAAATAATTATTATTATACAAAAAGAGAAATAAAAAATTAATTATGATTAGTAAATTTTTAATTAAAAACTAGAAATCTCTTTATTTAATATTAGAAGAAATTTTATCAAATTCAACTATTCTAAAAGAAGTATATATATATTTGAAGTCAGAAAAAAATAAAGATAATTATTGAACAAGTTAATATTTAGTTGACTAAGTAGAATTAAAAATAATTTTAATATTTAAAACAATATTTCTGAGCATATTGAAGTATTTATATTTGATAATAATTCAAATTATGCAGTATTTATGCCTGACACTCTTGTTATAAAAAGAATGAATATTGGATCTGAAGGTAAAAATATTTCAAAAATGAGAGATATAAGATAGAAATCTAATAATCAACTTCAAAAAATGAACTTTAATAATGAATAATCAAAAGATATCAAACAAATTTTAATAGAAAGAGGATTATAGAAACAAAATATGATTGATAAATACAAGTTATATCATGAAGTAAATAATCTTAATCATATTAATTGTTATGAAAGAAAAATTATTTCTCTTCAATCAGATTTTTTAGTATAAAAAGATGCTTTGGCTGAAATAATTAAAGAAACAGATCATATTTATATTTTTCTTCTTAAATTCTATTGTGAATTAAATTTTATTGAAAGATATTGGGGGATTGCCAAATGATTTGCAAGACAAAATTGTGATTATTCTTGAAAAGAATTGCAAGAAATTGTTATAAAAGCATTAACTTCAGTTGATTAAATAACTATTTATCAATTTGCAAGAAAAACATGACATTATATGAATATATATAAACATGAAATAACAGGAAAACTTGCTGAATATGCAGTAAAAAAATATAAATCACAGGAAAAAACCAGAACATTTTTATCAAGAATTTAAATAAAATTACAATTTAATTTTGAAATAACTATCTATAATAATTAAATATATATAACATACATTATGTATAATTAAAAATTATAATTTTTTATTATATAATATGCAAAAAATTTTTTGCCGCCTATCGGCGGCAATTTACTTATAATTTTACATAAAAATCACATGCTATTATCAAAAAAAATTTCGGACTAATGACCCTTTTAAGTGACCTGCACCATATAAAGAAAAAATTTTATAACTTATGTTTAGTGCTCATATAATACTTTATCACCTCAATTCTAGTTTAACTGCATCCTCAAAAAATCAAAAGTCAAATACTTTAATAAAAAATAAAAATATCTAATTGAATATTACTCCACTTTCTCTTAAAAAACTTCAGAAAGTCGGATGTACGTTGGAGAGGCGTTATCATATACCTCTGCAAAGTACATTTCAGTCCGACTCCCCAAGAAGCTATGACAAAATTATTTAGTTAATAAGTATGTATATTGACAAACTATTAAATACTCAGACATATTCACCTTATCAACTCTTCGCACAATTCCTTTAATTCAAAGGCTTTTTCTTCACGTATGTTTACTGAATCGACGATTTTGGGAAGAATAACTAGAAAATATAAATGAATTATTAAAAAGCCAATATAAGATTAACAATTAAAAATCCAGCATATACCCAATAGACGTAAAAGATGCTCAGCGCCATAATAAGTTGAGCACTCAACCCCTACGTTTTCCTCTTTGAATTCGTATAATTGCGCCCTTTCCGCCCTATAAAGGAGCCTAGCCTCTAAAGCTTCATTAAAGTAAATCTTTAGGCCTTCTAAATCTTGCCAAAGGGGATCACCATTTTTTTGGGGATCATCTCTTGAACTTTTTGGGTCAAACTTTTTCTTATATTGATAAAAATCGTCAAGTATGTTCTCAACAGTTCTTGATTTTGGCAAAGGAACAAGCTAATGTATTTGTAAAATACATTTATTAGCGTTATTATTTTTTGACAAACTAATAAGATAGAGATATAAATTAAAATACCTGATACTGTGTTGTTATCCATTCCCAATCATCTATTAGCTTGACCTTCATCTCATCACTAATTTGAAGATTTTGTGTATTTCTATCTCTTTTCTATTTTTGAATTGAACACAATGAAATGATGATGAACATCTTTTATACAATAAAATATATTAAATTACCTCTTTACTTCGCATTTCATATCTGCTACCAATCCTAGTATCAATATTTGATCGCGATGCTAAAATGGTCTCTTCTGTGCTAATTCTAGAATCCGTATGTTTTCTTTTTTGTCCTCTTTGAGATAATGCGCCATTTTTTTGGCTTTTTGAAGTAGTAAAGATAGTTGAAAAGCTACTGTTGCTTGGTTTCGTTTTAAGAACTTCACTAGATTTAACTTTTGATCTAGTTTTTATGATATTCATATCGTTTTCATTGTTATTGATGTAGTTTTTACTTGATGAAGCGTTGACTGCAATTGATATCGTCTCTTCATTCACTGTTGAAGAATTTTTATCTTCGTATTTAACTTTTGATCTAATCACCATTCCATCATTTTCAGAATTACTTGTATTCAAATTTCCTATGGTAGTAGGCATCGCGTGTGAACTCGTATCAATTTCTAGTGATATAGTTCCCGTAGTTGCAGTTGAAACTCTATTTTTATGGGACTTTGATTCCTTCGAAAGTACAATGTTGACACCAAAATCTGCCTTTGTATTACTTTGATTGGTATTTTTGGAATGATTTGTCGGCTCTTTCTTAAACGGATCGTTATTCATGGTCAACATGCAGTTTTCTTTTGATTCTCTTTTAATGTCATCGATAGCTGGATTTTGAATTTCTCCAAATTCATGCTCTCTTAAAGATGAAACTTCGATAGGCATCACCAATAATGTTGTTTCAATAATTCCTGCTGAAGATCCACAATTAACTTTGGATACCTTAGAAAAATCAGAGATAACGGGAACATTATCTTTAGTATTATCATTCGTAGATGAATCGGGGGTCTTGAAACTACTTTCACCTGATGAAGAATCTTTCAAAACGGGGATTTCATCAACTTTGAACGATGCCATATCAATAACTGGTGAATTTTCTTTAGTTTCATACTCGTCATTGTTATTTATAGCATTACTAGTAGTGAGATTAACAGCTTCGGTGCTGTCGTATATATCATGAAAAATTTCAGCTTTCAAGGCATAAGTAACTAGGTTGGATTTTGTGAGAGTGACTTCCGTTAATGAAGGATCTGTATTCAATAACTCGTGTGATGGTGAGGAGATAATGTCAAAAATCATATTATCAATATCATTTACTTTTACGGCGTTTGATTCTTGTAATTCGTCACTTTTTTGACTTGATTGTGTTATAGTAAGTTTCGTTGTCGAAGGTTCTACAGCAATTTTTGGCTGTTCAATTTCTATATCTTCAGTTGCGTTATTCACATTAAAATATTCAACAGGAATAGAATTTCTTCGTGAAGTTATGATTGAAGGTCTATTATGCAGTTCTTTTGTTAGTGTCTGCTGTAACTCAAGGTTTTCTTTGTCCATCTTGAGGACACGATTTTCCGGCATCCATTCTTCTAATCTAAGAATTGCGAAAATTGATCAAATTTATCTGGGCAAAAACTCCACAAGATATACGTAAATGTATACAAAGTTATATCCGATCCTTGATATTGAATCTTATAATAAGTTCCTATCTCGTTATACTCGTCCAAGTAACATGTGTTAATTTTAATCACCTAGTGAATTGGATATGCGCGTGTAACACGAGAAAACAATTAGCAAAGTGTAATATTTCAACTTGTATTTTATTACGGGATTTATTTGAAAAAACGTAGAGTTGGTTTATTAGACTAAAATATAAAGTGTACAAGCCTTTGCATTAAAAAGAATTGGCCCTTTAAAGCAAAGAACATGCTCATTTAATTGAAAGCAAGTTTCTTCTGTCTCTTCAAACATACTATCGTTGTTTATCCAGTAGCTGGCGAACTTGAGAAAGAGGGAGAGCTCTTACTTGGATATTGTTGCGAAATGTCACATTCTAATTTAATAAATTCATGAATTTTTATTAAATAATCTATCACTATATAGTCTAAAGGAACACAAATTATATGGCTATACTGAATGATAGGTTTATTATTGCGTCTTTCCAAGCTTGATTTATTTTTATATATTGATTTCTTTGCATACAATATGTCATCAAAGAAAGACATAAAATAACGCTTCATAATCCAGCCTTTAAAAGCTCAAAGCAATTTTTATCGTTATTCTTCCAAATAACAAAATCGAGCGCAACACACAAATTTGACCAATCTAATTGCAAAGCTCAATTGTAACACAAAACAAGCAAAGGGCGCGAAATTTTTAATATGAAAGCTAATTGAATTTTAATCATTAGTTGCGCCGCTAACATACATAAAAATCTAATTATACTTTAACCTTTCTATTGCTCTAGAACAAATTACTATATAAATTAGAATGCATTAATTAAATATTCAAAATTTCCTAAAACTTCCTATTCAATATGGATATATAAAGAAATATCTTTAAATCGAAAGCATCTTAATCGAAATTAGAGTCTAGAATCGAGTTAGCCGACTTAAAGAGCTTTACTATGTATCCGTATGGTTAAGCTCATAACTCGAACATCAGCGTCGTAGCGTGCTGTTTAACAAAATCCAGAGAATGAGTATACTTTGTATTTCGTCCAAAAATGGCATCTCCATAAGCTTCATGAGGTGAGGACGACGTCGAAAGAATTAGATATAATTCCTGGTTTTTGTCGAAAAATCTCAAGCGAATGTCTTCGGGAGATGTACTATGTAAAGACACGTTGTATGCCTCACTTAACTCGTGAAATAAATCCACGAAAGTTGTCACGTTTGACATGTCAATTGTGACCGTTTGCCGGGATTTTATGTTTATGCATTTTATGCGAGTTAATGCCGAATGTTTATTAGTGATGGTATCACGATTATTGTAAGCATTAACGTCGTCGTCGTTGGTGACTGGAGAACAAAGACCAATAATGTTGGAGCCGTCATCCGACTTTAGTAAGATCATGAGATTTTCAGGAAGAGCCACTACAGACTTTTACGCGATAAAAATAAATGTAAAATAATTCTATATCAAAAGATATAATTTAATTATAAAAATACTTACTATCTTATTCGCGAACAGTATTTTTGCTAGCGTATTAAAGTGAAGACGATTTACTGACGGAAAAGGAACATCTGGATCCAAACAGAATTGAACTAAATCTCCCATTGTCTGATGATAATCTTCAAATGGATCGAGATTTGAGATGGCCGATATGGTCAAATCTTGCGGAAAATGTTCAAAGATATTACTATAAGTATATAAAGAGATAATTGTTAAAAAAAGAGATATCAAAGAAATAAAGACCTTAAGATGTACCAATTTCGATTAGAGACTATTGGAAATGAAATTGTTCTAATTTCAAGACCAAAATTCCAATTCATTTCCGGAGGTATTTGTAAATTCAAGTCAGGCGCCGCAAGCAAAGTTCTTCCATCGGGAGACTTTGGCCACATGATCTTGCTTCTCCAACTAATACTCTTCCCAGAATTAACATTATCTTCAATTGCAATTGAATCTTTTAGGACAGATCTTGTCGATGTATTACTCTTCCTTGGCATATGATATATATCCGTGTTTTCGTCAGAGGAATCACTGTCAATCACCAAGGCCTCCTCAAACGATTTACCACTGGGTTCTTTTGCTACACCTTTATTAGAGTCACTGTTGATCTTGTGTCTTTTGCTGCTCTGACTTGATTGAAGAACTTGTATAGAGTGCTTCTCACGAACTTTAGAATAAAGTGATTTCACCATTAGACGATCTATTTCAGCATTGAGATTCTCGTTTTCAAGCTGAGAATGAAGTGGTGGTGCGTCAGGATCTAGCAATTTATTTCGTTCGTTTTCAGTTTTCATGTAGTTATGGTGTATAGACATTGGATGGTTTAAATGTGGAAAAGACACATAAAAACGTCCCATAACGTCTGATAAATCAATTGTATATTCCTCATATTGTTCATTCAATGGTATCCATTGGAAATCCTCTATGTACTGAGGATTATTTATAATAGGTTCAGCCATTTCATATAAATCCCCAGTAAACTGTATTCCTTTCTCGTGATTATAAAATATGGTCGACACCATAAAATAATTGTCCTTTTTGCTACTATATTCGTCTTTTGACGTGGAAAAAGAGGTGCTTGCTGCGGAAGCTGATGGCTGAACATTATCAGAATAAAGTCGTAAAAAGTCAAATTCGCGGATCTTCTCTACCCCAACGAAAATTTCACGAAAATGAGGAAAAGCGCTCATTTGTCTCATGTACGTTCTATCTGTGTCATTGACATCATCATTGTTTAATCCTTCTTGTGACTCTGAATAAGAATAGGGTTTCATCGGGTAATATGATTGTACGATCTGTTGGGCTGTGGAGAGGGCGTTTTTATAAGCTTGAATGAACCCATTAAGCGTGTCACGACTCGTTTCGATTATATCATTTTTTGATTTTGTGCTTGTAAATATGCTGGTTGGAACTTGCGGTTGATGGGATGTCCAAGGACGAAGTGCCCTTTCCGGTACAGCCTCATTAAGTGACAACGCCAAAAGCCTTATTGTATATCGAAATTCGAAGTCATAACTGTTTTCGATGTTTCGCTTCTGGACACGATGTACAACACACGGCCAGTATTTTGTTAGATGCGAGTTTTTTTTAATATTACTGTTGTTGAAATCAATAATGCCTCCAAATGATGCTAATTTGTAGTCGGATGCTTGGCATATATTGAACCATATAATCTCACCAACTCGAAATAAAGGGGCTTTAATGTGCAATACAGATCTTCCCTTTGTAGTTTTGACTACTCTTTTTGGTTCTGTGGTGTTTTTGCCACTGATTCTACTCATTTCCACCAATTGTGGCGTTAGTGTTGCGCCTGTGCAGATTTTGCACAGGCATTTTCCTTCCCGGTTCGTTGCTAGCCAGTATAAGTGTGGAACAAATTCGTTTGGTGACCGAAAACGTTTCTCACCTAATTTGAAAATTCGTGTTTATTTGTTGTTGTTCGCAAAAATAACTATCAAAGTTAGATTAAAAATTTCGCTCACCGAATCCATATAGATATTTATCATGTCTCTCGGATTTCTCTGATTTCTCCGTCACTTTATAGTGCTCGTAAAGAACATATCCACGCGGAAACGCTTTTAATTTCTTTGGTAGTTCTAAAAATTACAAGTTATTAAATATTGAACTGTAAAATGAATTCACCTAGAAACATACCAATGTTGGTTCCCTTCTTCTCGTTCAACAATAATACCAAGCCCTCGCCGAGCTTGTGACGCCAAACCAGATCTGACGGATCATTTCTTTTAACGAGGCGAAAATAGCTTACTACGCCTTCCTCGGGTGCTGGATCACTTGGCTCAAACGAGTTGCCATCGGAAAGTGTCACTGTGATTACGTCGCTTGTTATTTCATAGTTCATCGCGTGTAGCAGGTTGAATTGGACAGAAAAATGTTTTTACAATGTAAATATAACGTCACGTTATACATGATGGAAGCCAATAATAATTCATGGTTTGTAGATAATACAGAATACAATGTAACGTCACGTTATGCATGATGGAAGCCAATAATAATTCATGGTTTGTAGGTAATACAGTGAAGCGCGTTGGTATAAATGTTATTCAAGTATTATTATCCATCACACTAATTTAAAACAGAACTTTATATAATTAGAGGATAATCAAAATTCTCTCTCGCCACATAACCTCATTTGTATAAGATTAAGATAAAAAATAAGCAATGAATAGAAAGAAATTCAGGGTAAGTTAATATGTACATTGTGAAAAAGATTATTATAATATTCTAGTTTGCCGAAGAAAAATAATTCGAGGAAGAGAATATAATTTTAGTGAATAACAATAAAATAATAACAACAAAAATAATAATTTATAGTATTTGAATTAATCATTTGTTTGGTATAGCATTGAAAAATAATAAGGTAAAGGAGGGGGGATATATATACAATAAGATCTTCCTTCAGATAAATTTTCTTGTTGGAAGGTGATAATGATGATCTGTGTTGTATTGATTGTGTTAAACAATTATCGGCAAAGGGAATAAAAAAATGGTGAAAACCACCACAATACCCCCCCCCCCCCCCCCCCCCCCCCCCCCCCCCCCCCCCCCCCCCCCCCCCCCCCCCCCCCCCCCCGCCCCCCCCCC